TAATTTTATCATAAAAATTTAAATAAAACTTAATTAGAATCTTTTTTTGTAAAAGTTGTGCGATATACATATACTATAAGTAAAAAAAATACATTAATTACCTTAATTCATTTCGGTCATGATAACACGAACAACTTTTAACCGCAAACTAATGTTTGCTTGTTATATTATGCCTTACATTTTTTAATGCAATGAAGTTAGTCATTGTTACCCTGATTGGGTGTAGTGAATCAGCGTGGGAAAGTTAAAAAAGTTATTTAAGAACGAATATTAAGCTTTAATAATAAGATCTTAATCAATAATAATTAAATACTGTGTGAATTTGTCAAATTTTTTTTTTCGTTAGATAATCAAAATGTCTGATAATGAGGAAAGAAGAATTCAGGTAGTGTGCTCTTATAGGAGAGTTACACTTGCGTATCTCCTATCCAATAGATTAATTTTATCGGATTAAAAATATTGAAAAAAGAAAGTGGTCTAGTTCTGCTCCTAATTGGAAATGTGCAACAAGGTTAGAAGGTAATTGCATATTGTTAAGACTTACAAACGAATTGTCAAGAATTTTACACTTTTTTAATACAATATTTCTTCTAGGACAATGCAAAAATTCCTCTTACAAAGCTTATGGTGGCGGCAAAGTTATCTGTAATGGGGTACCGTGACTTTGACTTTTTCGATGACAAAAGTGAATTTGAATTTCCAATTTGTGAAGATATGTTACACCTATAACTTGCGGTATCTATGACACTAAATAGAAAGTAAGCGGCTTTAGAAAACCTAAAGAAGGTATCCTGTTAAAAAAGTTTATGGTGATTTGGAAAGAGGTAAGCGATGACGGATATACCATTAAAAAATTTCTAAATTTGGAACAACTCAAAATAGAAATAAGATTACTAGTACCATCATTTTATTTGTTTCACTCCCATTTTTTTTTTTTTTTTGTTAAATTTGTTATTTTGTTACACTTAATTAAATTTTTTTCTGATAGTATTTTTTTTTTCTTTAATTTAAATATTTTAGTGTATCGTAAATAAAATCTTACATTAATCTTAAAATGTATTATGAACAAATAAGGATATAATGTACTGTACGTATTCAATTCTTAAAATCTTGCGCTGATTTTCTCAAGCAGGAAAATATAAGTTATAGTAAAGAATCGTTAGGTTATTTGATCGAAAAAACACGAATTAATTTAAATGTAGAGCTCAAGTAGTAAACAAGTCATCTTTACTGGCTATTTGGTCGAGAATTTGTAATTAAATACAAATACTCAATAATTCGCAACGCAAATAACACCTTAAACAAGTCGAGAAATATATATGGCAGTTCAAAGAAAATATAATGCTTCGCTACATTAACAAAATTTGGAGGAGAAATTGGCTGAGGGAAAAGAAAACGCTAAAGAAGTATTCGAAATTTGAGATCAAGCTTCGTGGAGATGGCGTGATAAGAAAACTTCAATATGTGAATAAAGTTCAACTGTACAATGCTCCTGCCTTATGAAATAAACGGATTAGAAAAGTCAAGCAAATTTTACTTTTCGTTTAATTACTAATGATACTTTGTAAGACAAGCTCGCGAAAAAAAAATATTAACCGAAGAAAGTTACATCTTTTTTATTTATAGTCAAATTTATTAAAACGGGACCTTTGCAATAGAAAGGGGGAAACTGCCGGAAAAAATCAATTTTACTTTATATGATTTTAGGTCAAAATATGCTAAGGATTAGCATTATTTCATTTTTTTTTTTTATTTTTCCAGTCATTTTCTCCTTTTCTATTGAGGTCCCGAATCACCACCGCTGTCTACAACCATTCAACCCCTCCAAAAAAAAAAATAAATAAAAATAACCTTATAAATACTTCCGTAAGCGATTCGACCCGAAAAGAGTAACCTAAAGGAAAAGAAGTTAAATTGAAGGCCGCTACCCTCGCTGTTACATTAAATTGTTTACAATATAATTTATTGATCGTAACTTGATCAGAAGAATTTATTATTCATAAATAAAGGAAATTTTTTTTTTTTAAAAAAAAAAAACTTACATAAAAAAATGTCATAAACAAGTAAACACTAACTCAAAAATTTGTTTTTTTAAAGCTTATTCCCATTCTACAGTAATACTTTTTTCACAAGCAAAAAATTGAAATTTTTGAAATTTGATCATCCGTTTTTAATTAGTGAACTGAGTTCTTTTAATTTAAATTAATAATTAAATCTTTACCAAAAGTTTTTAAAGATATGAAGTCACAGTGGCGAAAAGAAATAGCTGAATAATATCTACATTTATCAAATGTTGCTAGATAATATTTAGTAATAAATGCTACATCAGTACTTAGTGAAAGATGCTGGAAATGAAATTAGTCAAGGATACTTCTAAAGTTTCATAACATATAATTCCGATTGGGCTACTATTAAATGATTAAAAATGTAATGTTTTAATTAAAAAAAAAAACTTATTGTATATTGCTAGTAGTTACATAATTATTATTAATGATGTTTATATAATAAAAAATGTGTATTAAGCAATTTATTATTGTAATTAAGTTACATTGGGCTTATTTTTTTTTTTTTAGCTTATATCGAATGAAACGTGTGCTTTCGAAAAATCAAAATACTTCAATGCTAAAAAAAGCGGATTTATCATTGTGTTGAAAATTTTGCTTGTATATATACAGTATAAAGCTTAAAATTTTTATCTAATAGTGAATATGCTTAGTTTAATAAGATAAAAGTAAATTATTAAGGACCCCGTTCCATCATTTATCTGATTTATTAAATGTATAAACTGCTGCCGCCTTTATTCCTTTATACGCAGCTTTACCCACAATTGCACCTTCACGAAGAGCACCAACGCACGTAACGTCTATAACTACCCCGATAGCTCCATTTTTAAGTCGTTCTTTTGCTAAATTTGACTTTCCCATCGTATAATAAACACCGGAAGAAATCAGTTGATATGACGATCCAACTACTGGTATAATTTCAATGATTTGAACTACTTTGTTCTCGGTCTTCTGGTTCGAGCTAAGAACTTCAAGTACAATTCCCTCATATTTTAAATTAGAAAGCATAAAAGTTAAGGATTGCAAACATTTTTTTCTTTTTTCTCGTTTAAAGGCAGCATCATCATCATCATCTTGACTCCAAGGAAAATCAACCGGAATAATCGGATAATCTCCAAAATTCTTCAATTTTTCAGAGTTTTTTTCGACCCATGCCTGATTACCATCAGTGATAATAATAATGACATTTTTTTCACCTCCTGTAAAGATATCTTTAAGTATTTTAAACATTTCACGATCTTTATCTGTAATTCTACCCTTCTTTTTAACGTAAGCAATATAGTTGAGTGGCACCCCACATACAGAAAAATAATTTCTTATCTCTCTGACAGCATTTCTATGTGGAACAGTTCCATAACTTGGTTCACCTAATCCAATCGTATCGTAAACTATAAATCGCTCATTAAAACTGCAATTTACATTTAAACTTACACCAGCTGCAGTATCATTTACTTCGAACGCATTGGATTCATAATGAATATCGCCTTGAATCAGCATGTTAGAAATAGTGGACTTTCCCTCACCAGTTAGTCCAAAAAGGATAATACTAGTTCTTTCACTCATATTCGATATATAAAGTATGATGAGAATCAACAAATTTTTTCAAGAGCCAGAAGTGTCTTTTGAAAAGTTTGAAAACGACTTGTTGCGGTTCTCAATTTCTTTGAATGACGGAATTAAGATCCAGAATTCTCATTTAGAGTTACTCGAAGTCGAGTGAGAAGACAGAGATTTAGAAATCAAAGTTTTTAAATATTAAATTTGTTATTGTTGACCGATATATATACATATTGTTGGACTGATATAGTTTCCACTCAAAATATCATATGAAAATTAAAAAAAAAAAAAAAACTTCCAAAGCCTCATTTTAGATAATCCCGAAGAACAATATTTGAAAGCATAAGACATTGGTTATAAAGCAAACTTTGTGCGATCGATCAAGTGGACCAATAAAAATAATGATATATTTAATAATTTTACGTTGACGAATGATCCTATGAAAAAAAAATTCGGGTCCGCCAAATCGACCTAAGCAGCACTCAAAGCGAGTCTTTTAACCTTTTACTTCAATACTTGCGAGGAATTGGTTTTGACCTCGAAGCTACTGATTACCAGGACCGCCAAATTAATTTTACAAACTTTTCAACAAAAATTAACAAGATATGAATTTAATAAGATCATTAAAAATTTTAATTTGAACGTAAGCTAAATATTTTGGTTGCACCTGACTTATAGATAATAAATTCGTAAATCTAGCAATAAAAAGTATTGTCTTCATAATAAATGTTGCATTGTTTAATAGCGGAGGTTCATTTCTTGCCCGATGAATCCAAAAAGATACTACTTTGTTCACTCGTACTCGATTTATAAATTATGACGCAAAACAACAAATATTTTCAGGATAATAAATTATATTGTTTTAAATCGACTGATTACGGAACCTGAACACAAAGCGATGTATTGTGGTATTCATTTCTTTCTTTCGTTTATATTTATAAACAATTTTCATAATTTAAGTAGGTTGTATTAATTTAAATTTAATAATTATGATGTAGAAATTATTCAATAAATTTATTAATCAGTGTAGCCTCAATGTTGGCGCTCTACACTTTCTGAATTTAAAGTTACGAAATAAAATCGGGGAAATAAAACGATATTACAAAGTTACAAAAAAATAATAATGAAGTTAAAATGGCGAAAGGGGAAAAGGGAAAGAATTAGGGTGTGTGCGTAATAAAGGAAGACGAAATCTTGCTAAAAATCCTAAGAGAAGCCCGTTGTATATATAGAAAAATAGAACAGCCTGTCAGGTCGAAATTGATCTGCAAAGACTAACCGAAAATTATCCTGAACGACTTTGGCCAAAATTATCGTTTTTCGGGTGGAATTAATGCTACATTATTTTTTTGAATGTCGGGAATAAATTACCAGAATTTCCAATTGTAGTTACTCAAGAAATGACAAGATTAGAAATCAAATAATATATCTTTTGTCATTGTTGAACAATATAGACATATTGTTGGACCGATATGGTAACCCTCAACATCACGAGAAAAAAAAAAAACCTTTCTTGAAATATTTTTTTTATTATTAACATTTAATAATAAAAGAATGATTCGTTGTGTAAACATTAGATCGTAAACCTTCTCTCTAAAACATCATATTAGGTAATTGTGTAACTCTAACTATTATCTAGTAAAAATATATATAAACCCGATGTTAAATAGTTTCTCGGCGTTGATTACGACTGTTGTTTTTATTTAATAATATTGTTTAATAAATAATTTACAGTAGTGGCGGAACTAATAATAATTCACGTGACTTACTATAATAAGCCAGAAAATTTTTTTTTTTTAAATTATTTTTTCACATGACATCATAATAGCAAGATAAGAAACGGTAAAATGTTTAACATGGATTTTATAGAGATAACATTTAATCAAACGTAACTAACTTTCATTTATTTAAGATTTATTAAATGTAACTAGAAATGAACCTCGTAGTGACAAGTCCAAGGCTATCGAAAATGCAAGTCAACTTATTTTGTACATTTTTTGCTTTAGACATTCACAATGATAAATGATTGCTAAATAAAGAAAAAAATTTTTCCCTTTCATTATTATGACAAAGTAATGAACAAAGTAATTTGGTACTGTCTCAAATGAGATAGTGGAGGAGAAATTAGTCGAATGAAAAAATTTTTTTTGGTGACATACTACAGTATAATACATTTTTTTATTTTATTATTAAGTACCAAAAATAATAATAATTCTAACGGTTAATTTTCCAAATTTTCCAAAATTTACCAATTTTAATAAACTTTGCACGTGAAAATGACTGCAAATGGCGTCATTAGATCTTCCAAAAGAAAATCTAAAATGAAGGTATTACAACACTACTTAGTCATATGATATATTCATTCGAATTAATACTAGTCTAAAAAAACGCTTTAAATCTTTTCCACACTCTATTGGTATACTTGTCTTGTTATATGCGACTTTAAATATTCTTTTTTTAAGTATAGTCTGCTCTATTTGGACCGAATACTAGCTCGAGATCTCTTCTTTCCGCGGTAAGGTCTTGTTCTACGTAAACTTGTTCTCAGCCAGCATAGGGCCCAAAATATTTATTCCAGTTAGATAAATCAATCAACAAAATCCGGAATTTTTGGAAATTTGTTATCATTCATGTAGCAGCAAAGAATAAGAAAAGATCTTTGATGATGATAATTTTTCCCTTTCTTTTTGGAAATCAGGTACATTATGGAACTTTGTACATTTAGTTCAGTCTTTGAATCCAATAATATGTCACCACACGGCACGGTCATTAATTTTACCCTCAACGATACATCGAATCTCCCTTTTCATTCCGATATAATTTTCTGAATTTGTATCCTTATGATGAACCTAAAATACCATTCTAGATGATTTATAAATTGGAAATCACTTTCATTCAAACTTGCTCCAGCGTGAATTTTCGCTATTGTCGTTATCTCATTATCATTTATCATTTAAGGCTTTAATATCCGGAAGATGCAGCGTTTCCAAAATCGAGAACTTAGTGGGGGTGGACTTTATAAATTTGGGTTATGATCAAACCATAATCGCAAAAACACCAATGTAAGGAGCAGTCGAAAAACCCGTTTGAGTATTATTGCCCAAATTGTTTGTAGCCAATCAATTCTGGCTGTACTACTTACTTCTTAAGGATACTTATTTGTACCAGGAATGAATTTTTGGGATAAGATCCCCGTGCTATAGCTTGGAGAATATTGAAACGCCTCTCTATACCTGTCACGAAGACCAACACGTAAATCGTTAATCAAATAATTGACTTTAGCTTTCCTAACATCGCGTTTTTCTTGGATCCCTTGTAAAGTTTCGAGAGCTCTCTCATCCCTCCACAATTATCCACTAAAATTTTTGTTATATAATCAGTAGTATTAAGAATGAAATGATATTACAAATGTCAGAGGAAACAATGAAGCAATTGATAGTATAATTCGTGATTTTGTGGGTAATTTAGTTATATAATCCGGAAAAAGTCGGATGATCTATCATCCTGGCCATTTCTTGAATCATAATATTTTGTAATCATTTTGGTCCCTTCGTATTTTGCTAATAACTCGAAAATTTGCCATAATAGTGAGGTTTCATGATTCTGATGATATTTTCCTTTGGAAGAAATTGTTGAAGAATTCTAGTTCCTACCGCACTGTCGATTTTGTTCCTTAAGCAATTGTTGCGTCCAGTTCTTTATGTTTACATAATAACACGATAAGAAAAAGGTTTTAAGTGTAATGTAAAATTTATTCAATAAAATCAATTAATAAAGTGTTGCCTCAACGTCGGCGATCTATACTTCCGTTTATTGAATCAAACATTACAACTATCTACCAATTGGTCACTTTTGAATATAAATTTAATTACTCAAGATCATTGTTTTAGATATAAGTTACGTTACTAAAGGAACAAAATCCCAAAAAAACTAACTAAACTTTATTCAATTATTTGCAAGTATAAAAAATATTTCACATTAATAGGGGGAAAAAACGCAATTAGAATTATTTGTTACTATTTAACGACAAAATACATGTAATATTATAAGGTTTACGATCTTAATACAGCACTTTTAAAAGTTGTAAATAGTGGAAGCGTAGCTTAAAGGTAATGCAGGCTTTGCAGGTTCAAAATGGATAATGAGCAAGTTCTAAAGGAAGTGTGAATGGATTATTATTGACATTTCAAAAAGTACTTCAAAAAGTAAGCGAAGCTATTATGAAACGTAATTTAATTGGAGAATGATATGAGAAAGACTAATGATGGGTTAAAAAAAGAATGATGGAGTTCCAGAAATGTAATATTGATATTCTTCTCTATGCAAAGTTCATGAAATAACTTGAATGGTGATTGTGAGGTTGAAAATGGAAAGAGCTTCGGCCAAACCAAATATTATTAATTCTTTAATTGTTTTAAAGCAAATCTTTCGATTAAATGATACCAGAATGGATATAATAATGTATCCATGAGAGTTTTCACTTTTTTACTTCAAAATTCAATTATTCATTAAATTCTTCAGCCCTTCAAAGGATTTGTATTTTATATATTATGGTTAAACCATATCGGATATGTCTTATATTATTTTATGTTTTGTGCAATTCTGTGTTATTTCTCCTCTAGTTTAGGACGGTATATTTACTGCAGTTCTTTTTTTTTGTTTCACAATAGAAAATATTTATAATATCGCGTAAATGTCGTATATTTTGTATAATGTGCACTTAATTGATTATTTGTATACTTCAAAATTTAAGAAACGAAGATATGTAATGCCTAAATTTGATGCATATTTGAATAAACTTTTATTTGCTTACAATTGTTACAATTTCATCATTTCTAATTTTTATAAACAACTCAAAGTATATAGTTAGTTCAATAAAATTCTAAAGCAAATCTTTGTTATACTATATTTTTTATCTTTGTTGATATGGGTTCTACAAATATTTGAAACCAGTTAAAAGCCTTTTTAAGTTCCTGTCTACTTACTTTGTATTTATATATAATTTATCAAGTCTACATTGAGTTAACTTATCCATTTTCAGCTGTGATTTTATATTATTCAAAAGCTTTAACTTCATCTTTTTTAGTTCCAATTTCATTTCGATAGCAAAAAGCTAAACTATTTTATGCATTGCCATAATCTTTTTCAGCTGCGATTTTATATAATTCAAAAGCTTTCATTTCATCTTTTTTAGTTCCAATTCCATTTTGATAACAAATAGCTAAATTATTTTATGCATTGACATAATCTAATTCAGCTACAATTTTATATAATTCAAAAGCTTTTACTTCATCTATTTCAGTTCCAATTCCATTTTGATAACAATTAGCTAAATTAAATTGTGCTATAACATTATCTTTTTTAATTGCAATTTTATACCCAATAAAAAAATTTGATATAAAAATTCCATAAAAATATTAAGTTTTATAACGTATACAAAAAATAAGGAAAAAACGTATATTTTATAATGCTTTAACGGATGCAAAAATCACGGATTAAACGTAT